AACTTTTTAAAAAATCCCTGGTTTTAGATCCCTAGGTCATGGAAAAAATGTTGCAAAACGCCATTTGAAACCTACACAGAAAGTCTTAAAAAATCCACGTCCTTGAAAAAAAAAATCCTCCGAAAATCCACATATATAGTCTTTACAAAATTCGTTCAAAATCTTGGAGAAATCCACATTTACCGGCCTTTGAAACGTTCTCAAAAAAAATATCTTAGAAAATCGCCCTTTGAAATCTTCACACGAATTCTTTAAAAAATTAAAGGTTTTAGCTCCATGAGTCCTTGAAAAAAAATCTTTAGAAACTCCACGTCTTTCGGCCAATGAAGTCTTAACAAAATTCTTTAAAAATCCAAGGTTTTAGATTCATTCTTCAATAAAATCCACGGCTATTGGAAATTTCACAAAACGTTATCCTTAAAAAATCAAGGGTCCTAGCTCCTTGAAAAAACTCTTTAGAAATTCCAAGTTTATCGATCCTTGAAACCTTTACAAAATATTTAAAAATATCTACATCCTTGTGGACCATAAAAATCTGCAGCTCGAAGAATTCTCGAAACCTTTACAAAAATGTTTAATAGTCTTCGTTCTTGTAACCTGAAAAGAGATATAATCTTTTTTTTTTAATTTTTTGCAAGGGTTTAATATCAGTCTTTAGCTGCAGATTTTTTTTGGCCCACAAGGATGTGGATTTTTTTAAATATTTTGTAAAGGTTTCGAGGATCGATAAACGTGGATTTTCTGAAGAATTTTTTCGAGGATTGATAAACGTGGATTCATTGAACCACTTTTCAAGAATCCTCGAAACCTTTCCAAAATTGTTTAACAGTCTACGTCCTTGTATCTTCAAAAATAGTCTTCAGAAACTCGTCGTATTTCGGTATTTTAAACTTCAATTTTAGCTTTTCGGGTCCTTAAATGCAATCCTTTAAAAAAATCCACATTTATCGGTCTTTGAAACCTTTACAAAAGTTGATAACAAATCCATGTCCTTGGATCCTTGAAAAAATAACTTAAAAATCTATTAAAAAAAAATTCGAAAAATTACTCTAGCTTCCGAACGAAATGAAGTAGATTGATAATTTTTAACCCAAATGTATATTAGGTCTTCAAGACTTTTGTTAGTGAAAATGGTCCACCATGTAGGTCCACGTTTAGGTACAGCACACCAAAACAACCCCCCCCCCCCCCCCCCCCCCCCCCCCGCCACAATGGTACCTCCCTATTTTCGGTATTTTGGTGGTTTTAGCGACATAATTCACCGGAATTGTTTCAAATTCGGTATTTGAAGATTATAACAGCTACTACAGCCTATGACATAAAATTGTCTGTGCAGGTCCACGTCTTCGTATAGCCCCCATGTAGCGGTACCTCCCGATATTTGGTATTTTGATGATTTAGCGACATTATTCACCGGAAAATTTGTTCCAAATGGTGGAGGGTATTCAAAGTTCGGCCAGCCGAACTTATAAAGTTTTTTTCTTGTTTTTAGTCTATCTTTGGGGTCTTAAAACTTTAGGGTCTTCAAAATGTCCTTAAAGTCCTTGGGGAAAAATATTAAAAAAAAATACAATTAAGACTTCTTGATGATCTCAAAACAATTATTTTGAAAACAATTAAAATTAAAACTCAAAGTATTTCCCCAAAATCTTCTCTCCGCTTGATTAATATTTCCCGTATTGAGGCTAACACCAAGTCCCCAACTAAAAAAAAAATTATAAAAATTATTAACACTTCTTCAACAGCAGATTACATCAAGTCATGCAAAATTGCTGCCAAAGATTTCGTCAATTGTTCCACCGAAAGTATACAGAAGCTGTTCGATAAATTGAATGATGGTGAGTGCTTGGTCACATTTCATGAAAAATTTAATAAGAAATTGTATTCCCTTTTCCTCCAGGTATACCCGGTCTGGATAGCATTAAAAGTTTCGATCCTTTCCTGCTCAATCGCATAAAAATTACCCAGGGCAACAGTAATGCCATTAATCTGAAGGTGGAACTGGCAAATGTGCAAATTATTGGTTTTGGCCATACCTATGTGCTGGAGAGCATGTGAGTAGAGAGGAGAGAGAGGGGAGAGAGCAAATGAGAGAAATCTTAATATATTTCCCATTTAGAGTCTATCCCAAGGATTATAGCTGGAAGACGACCTTTGTGTTGCCAGTCATGAAACTCAAGGGTGATTATAGCCTTTTTGGGCGCATCCTTTTGATTCCGCTGAATGGCCTAGGGGAGGTGTTCCTGGATGCCGGTAAGCCAGTGTAATCCAAAAAAAAAAAATATTTGAGATTTTGAAATTTTTTTTAGACAACATGACCGTTGTTATGCGCACCAAGACCAAACTATACTCCAAGGGGGGCTTTACATTCTACAATGTTACCAATACCGATGTTGATTTTAAATTGGAAGGCTTGAAATCGTATTTTTCCAATCTCTTCAATGGACAAAAGCAATTGGGTGAGTTAAGGGTCGGAAAGAGAAAATAATTTTCAAAATAAACGATTTTCCGAAAAAAAATTTTTTTTTTTCCAGAGGACAGTACGAATAAATTTTTCAACGACAATTGGCGCATGTTGACCGATGCCCTCTACACGGTCATCACCCAGACAATTGAGGACATCCTACTCGATGTTCTCAGGAAAATCTTCCATTTTATACCGGCGAATTTCTTTGTCGAAGACATACCCACACCCGAACAATTGTACGGCAGCAAACAGAAGGCGACAAAGAAAATTTAATGGAAATCCTTCCGAGTGTATGTGTGTGAGTCCTCGGGTGTGCGTGTGCAAGGATTTCATACGTAATTAATTTCTTCATTAAGATGTTTATTTTTAATTTTAAGCAATTTGTTCATCCTTGTAAAAAGGAATCTTCTTCTGCTGTTGTTGTTGCAAATAAAAAAAAACAACAATTCCCGTTAATTTGGTAAATTTTTGAGTTGGCATTTCTTATGGCCTCCAAAACGCGTATTCTCGCCAGCCTGCCACTGCAGCTGACATTAATTTGTTTACTCCGGTGGTATTGACCGAAACGGATGGATTTTCAACCAAACACCAACGATCAATTAAGTTCTTATCCACCAAAATCTGTAATGCCGTCTGATGGAGAGTAAGACATACATACAATTGCTTTTCCAATGCGATGTGAGAGAGTTCAGGGATGAGTAATACAATGGCAGCGGTGGGTCGTATGGGGCACTTGGCAAAATATCCTTTAAGAAACGGATACAAAAATTCTGAAAAACATCTACGTTTATTGGACTTTGGACCTTTAGAAAAACTCACGTTTTTGACGTTTGGAACCTTAAAGAAAATTCAAGTTTCTTAGTCTTTGGAAACTTTAGAAAAAATCTTTATAAAACCAAGTATCCGAATCTTAGGAACCTTTAGAAACATTTTTAGAAAATATACACGTTTCACGGTTTTTGGGACATTAAGAAAATACATTAAAAAATTCCTTTACAAAAATTCTTTAAATATCCACTTTTTGGGTCTTTGGAACCTTCAAAAAAATTCTTTAAAAATCCAAATTTTTGGGTCTTTGGGACCTTCAAAGAAATTATTTAAAAAATCCACATTTCAAGGTCTTCAGAAAAATTCTTGAAAATATCCACTTTTCTGTGTTTCTGTTGGTACCTTCAGAAAAAATTATAAAACCACATTTCTGAGTATCTGGGACCTTAGGAAAATTCTTTCAAAAATCCACTTTCTGGGTCTATGGGACCTTTGGAAAATTCTTAAAAAATATACGTTTCTGGATCTTTGGGAACTTCACAAAAAATCTTTAAAAAAATCCACGTCTTTGGGTCTTTAAGATTTTTTTTAAATCCACGTTTATTTGTCTTTGGGACCCTTAGAAGAATTCTTTAAAAATATCTACGATTCAGGGTCTTTGGGAACTTTGAAAAAAAAAAAACTATAAAAAATCCACGTTTATTTGTTTTTGGGACCCTTAGCAGAATTCTTTAAAAAATCTAATTTTCTGGGTCTTTAGGACCTTTGAAAAAAAAAAAAAAAAACTATAAAAAATCCACGTTTATTTGTTTTTGGGACCCTTAGCAGAATTCTTTAAAAAATCTAATTTTCTGGGTCTTTAGGACCTTTGAAAAAAACCTATAAAAAACCCACGTTTATTTGTTATTGGTGCCCTTAGCAGAATTCTTTAAAAAATATCCAAGTTTCAGGGTCTTTGGGACCAAAAAAAAAAAATTTTAAAGTTAACGTTTCTGGGCCTTTGGGACCTTCAGAAAATTATTTTAAAATATCAACGTTTCTAGATCTTCGGGACACATTTTTTTAATTCCACGTTTTTTCGTCTTTGGACCCTTAGCAGAATTCTTTAAAAAATATCCACATTGTTGAGTCTTTGGGGCCTTCAGAAAAAATATTTAAAAAATCCACGTTTCTGAGTCTTTAGAACCCTAGAAAATTATTTAAAAATCCACGTTTTTGTATCTTTAGAACCTCAAGAAAAATTCCTTAAAAATCCACGATTTTGAATCTTTGGGACCTTTTGAAAAATTCTCGTTTTTGAATCTTTAGGACCATAGGAAAAATTCTTTAAAATATCCACATTTCTGGGTCTTTGGGGCCTTTAGAAAAAATCTTTAAAAAATCCAAGTTTCTGGGTCTTTGGGGCCTTCAGAAAAAATCTTTAAAAAATCCAAGTTTCTGGGTCTTTGGGGCCTTCAGAAAAAATATTTAAAAAATCCACATTTCTGAGTCGTTGTGGCCTTCAGAAAAAATATTTAAAAATCCACGTTTCTGAGACTTTGGGACCTTCAGAAAAAATATTTAAAAAATCCACGTTTCTGAGACTTTGGGACCTTCAGAAAAAATATTTAAAAAAATCCAGGTTTCTGAGTCTTTGGTGCCTTCAAAAAAATAGTTAAAAATCCACATTTCTTAGTTTTTGGGACCTTCAGAAAAAATATTTTAAAAAATCCACGTTTCTGAGACTTTGGGACCTTCAGAAAAAATATTTAAAAAATCCACGTTTCTGAGACTTTGGGACCTTCAGAAAAAATATTTAAAAAATCCACGTTTCTGAGTCTTTGGGACATTCGGAAAAAATCTTTAAAAAATCCACGTAACAAGGTCTTTGAGACCTTCAGAAAAAATATTTTAAAATCCACGTTTTTCGGCTTTGAGACCCTTAGCAGTATTCTCTAAACGTCCACGTTTTTCGCCCTAAGCAGAATTCTTTAAAAAATATCAACGTTGCAGGGTCTTTGGGACCTTCAGCAAAATTCTTTAAAGAATCAACGTTTCCGGATCTTTAAGAATTAGAATTATTAGAATTAGAAATATTAGAATTAGTAGAATTCTTTAAAAAATCCAGGATTCTGGAAAATTATTTTATAAATTTTATTACCCTTAAGGACCGCCAAATTCTTTGTCTGTAGGTCGTTAAAAAATCTTTAAAAAAGCCACGATTATCGTCCTTTCAAAAAAAGCCAGGTTTATTATTCTTGAGTTCTTGAAAAAATTCTTTAAATAATCCAAGTTAATTGTCCTTTATGTCTTTAAAAATATATAAATAATTGCCGTTTATTGTCCATTAGGTCCTTGAAAAAAGTTCTTTAAAAAAATCAGGTTTATTGTCCTTTAGGTGCTTAACAAAATTCTGAAAAAAAATCCATGTAAATTGTCCTTTAGGTCCTTGCAAAGATTTCTTTAAAAAACCCTAGTTTATAGTCCTTTATGTCCTTGAAAAAAATTATTAAAAAATCCACCTTTTTATGTCCTTTAGGTCCTTGAAAACAGTTCTTTAAAAAATCCGCGTTTATTGTCCTTCAGAATCTTCAAAAATGTCACGGTTATTGTTCTATAGAACCTCCAAATTATTTTTTTAAAAAATCCATAAAATTCTTGAAAAAATTTCCTTAAAAAATCAATACTTATTGTCCTTCAGGATCTTTGAAAAAAAATTATTTAAAAAAATCCATTAGGTCCTTGAAAAAAAAAGATCTTTTAACAATACAACCTTATTGTTCTTGCAAAAACATTTATTTAAAAAATCTATGTGTATTATCCTTTAGGTCCTAGAAAAAATGTATTTAAAAATCCACGTTTATTGTCCTTTAGGTCCTTGAAAACAAATTATTTAGATCCTTGAAAAAAAAATGTTTATTATCCTTTAGGTCCTTAAAAATATTATTTAAAAATCCAAGTTTATGGTCCTTTAGGTCCTTGAAAAAAAATTATATAGTTCCTTGAAAAAAAAATTATTTAAAAAATCTATGTTTATTATCCTTTAGGTCCTTGAAAAAAATATTTAAAAATCAACGTTCCTTGAAAAAATTTTATTTAAAAATCCACGTTTATTTTCTTTAGGTCCTTAAAAAAAATTATTTAGGTCCTTAAAAAAAAATCCACGTCTATTGTCCTTAGGTCCTTGAAAAAAAAATTATTTAGGTCCTTGAAAAAAAATTATTTAAAAATCCACTTTTATTGTTCTTTAGGTCCTTGAAAAAAATTATTTAGGTCCTTAAAAAAAATTATTTGAAAATCCACGTTTATTGTCCTTTAGGTCCTTAAAAAAAATTATTTAGGTCCTTGAAAAATAAAATTATTTAAAAATCCACGTTTATTGTCCTTTAGGTCCTTTAAAAAAATTATTTAGGTCCTTGAAAAAAAAATTATTTAAAAATCAACGTTTATTGTCCTTTAGGTCCTTCAAAAAAATTATTTAGGTCCTTGAAAAAAAATTTATTTAAAAATCCACGTTTATTGTCCTTTGGGTACTTGAAAAGAATTATTTAAAAATCCACGTTTATTGTCCTTTGGGTACTTGAAAAGAATTATTTAAAAGTCCACGTTTATTGTCCTTTGGGTACTTGAAAAGAATTATTTAAAAATCCACGTTTATTGTCCTTTGGGTACTTGAAAAGAATTATTTAAAAATCCACGTTTATTGTCCTTTGGGTACTTGAAAAGAATTATTTAAAAATCCACGTTTATTGTCCTTTAGGTCTTTGAAAAAATCCAGGTTTTCCCTTAGGTCCTTCAAAAGGTTCTTTACAAAAGCCACGTTTTTGTTTTAGGTCCTTAAAAAATGCACATTTTTGTCCTTTAGTTCCTCGAAAAGATTCTTTAAGAAAATCCAAGTTTATTGTCCTTTAAGTCCTAGTCATTTTGATTTTGAAACACATTCTTTAACTATTACAAGGTTATTGTCCTTTAGGTCTTTGAAAAAAATATTTAACTAATCCCTGGTTTATTGTCATTTAGGTCATTAAAAAATTGTTTTTAAAATCCACGTTTATTGTCCTTTAGGTCCCTGAAAACATATTTTCAAAAAATCCACGTTTAGCGGTCCTAAGACTTAAAAAAATGTATTTAACCCCACGAGTTTGCCCATCCCATCCCATTATCCTGTTTGGTGTTTTAATACCAAACCCCATCCACTCCTCGCAATTTTTGGTGGAGTTGCTGGCCGTGTTTTAACTGCTACCAAAAATATGTGTGTTGTAATTTTAAATGGCCTTAACCGCAAATACAATGAGACCGTATGTGTTAAATTAATTGCCCTGTTTCCGTTTTAAAGTTGATGGTCGGTTGGAAGGCTGGCTAGCTGGTTGGTTGGTTGGTCGGATGGTGGATAATATGGCGGCGGGAAGTGGCAGTAGGATTTCGGAGTAATGCAGGGGCTTCATGGTGTTGCCATAACATCAGGTCGCTCATTGGCAACCAGTAAGTCTGTGTGTGTGTGGATTGGAGTTTCGTTGCGAGAGTGT